TCAGAAAAAATCATGTGTTTTTAATATTGAGATACAGATTAGTTTGTACCTGTACGGCAGATTAATGTTATGGATTTATAATTAGATGGAGAATCTGTAATATATGTTATATCTGTATTATCAAAATACTTGATTAGTGTTTGCTAATTTCTGAAAAAAACAACTTTTAAGGGGGATCTCAAATATAAATGTCAAAAATGCATTTGGTAAAAAATTGAAATTCAGCATTTCCAGGTAAGTTTAGGCCATTCCTGTATTATTTCATACTTACTCTCAACATCTGGTTCTAACTTAGATTTAGGCTCAGTTAGCTGGTTCAGGCTGTAGTGACTCCACATATTCACCATCCAGTGGCTCAGATTATGGGGTTATCCTCATTAACTCATTGACTGGCAGCCATTTCCAGAACAGAGTCCCATACTGCCAGAGTGTTTTTAGCATTTTGACTGATTTTTCTAGAGCCACAGAATAGTTTGTGCTATGACTATGTAAACACCGAACACACCAAAAGAAAGAGTAGACTCTCTTCTTTCATCAGGAAAAAAAATGTGTTTCTACCTTATTCCGTTCTTCCTGGACTTGCGTCTCACCGGCGACATGTTCTCTCATAGAACCGTTCCCTTTTTCTTATTTGCCTACAGTCTATGCTCATCTCCCATCAAAAGTGGCACTGCCCCCTAGAGGCTCAATTTGTTACTACATACTCTGTCTAGAAGCCCATATTTACGGACAAGCTTTAGCAGATCGTCCCCCAGACACTCTCGTTAAAAACATAAAAGACCTCTATAGACGTCTTTGGCAGCCAATGAGTTAAGGAGGAGGCCGTGATTCTCTCTGAGGTTTATTATAGCGATATCTGTCTCAGGGAAACACAACGGCAGGAAATCACGTCCTCTCGTTTGCATATTGTCCTTCCCAGGGGGAGGAACGGTCTAAATAGGAAAGGAAAGCCGCCAAGAAAGGAAAAACATGGAAATGAGCAATAAAAAGATATTCTGTACAACTCCGTGTAGCTCTAATGTGTTAATGAAAACGGACCGGACCCCCATATTTTTCTTCTTTTTTAAACCAAGATCATGTTAAAAATCTGAGTTACAGTGGGGGAAATAAGTATTTGAGCCCTTGCTGATTTTGCAGGTTTGCTCACTTACAAAGAATGCTTATTTTTCCTCATCAGATGGTTATCAATTTTTATAAATTCATATGATGTGATTTTCTGGAATTTTCTTTGGGATTCTGTCTTTCACTGTTAGAATGTACATATGATTAAAGTTATAGATCGTTGCATTCTTTGTAAGTGGGCAAACCTGCAAAATCAGCAAGGGCTCAAGTACTTATTTCCCCCGCTGTATGTGCTGACAAATCTGACAAATGTGTCATTATTTAAAGATCCTTTTTTTTTTGCCATTATGAAAATATAGATAATCTGTCAGGAGATATTTTTTAAAAGTGTTTTATGTTGAACTTGTGTCATAATTAATTCTATTGCAGATGCAGTGGTCTGACATTTATTACTTCAGAGCAAGTTTTTAATGCAAATGACACTTTTTTATACGTACAACAAGCCTTTTTGGATTGTCATAATCTAAAGTTTCCCATTTCTCTTTTATGAAATAATTTCTAGAACCTTCTTGTTATAGATCCTGTCAGAAAATCGACGGATTGATAAGAACCCGAGAAAAAAGATGTTTCTGTTGGCTGACAAAATACTTTATTGAAGCTTTGGTGGTTTCTTTTTAAAACATTATTCAAGTCTCATGCTAATGAGGGTGAAAACTGTGTGGGTGCGTTTGTGGCTTTTGCTTATGTTGCCATGGTGATTGAGAGTAAAAGAACGCATTTGTGACTCTGAAAACTTGGATTTGCATCCCAAAATAACTTGTTATCACTTTTTCGTACACTTTCCCGTGTTTGAAATCATTCTGTGAAGGAAGTCCACAGATTTAACCACTTGTTTTTGCATTTGCCTTTATTTATGTTTTAAGTTTTATTTCTGAATGTCTTACAGAACATGGACAGAGATAAAAGTTAAATAGAGACAGGACAAACCTGACTAAACAAAGAGAACTAATCTAATTGGATAGTGACTTTAAGGTTTAACGTAATTTAACTTTTGGAAGAAGGTTCAGAATTCCACCAGTTCATCATTAAAACCTGTAAAGTGTCTTTTCATAACATCCTCAGAAATGATAAAAGGCGGAAATGCAATTTCACTTCCATTTACTGAATAAGATTGAAACTAGCAAAGAACTACTCCATAAGATATTTCATAATAGCTCCACAAAGATCCACAAAGCCGGTGACATTCAGGAGGGAATAGTGTAACGTGAGGGTTCGATTAAACGGTGTCTGGATCTCTCTCCAGAAGGAAAACCAAAGAATGGAGACAGCTGAACTTTTCAACCACGCTTTATTCCGTCTTATTCCAACTTTTTTTTAACACACCCGCTTCCTTGTTTTTGTCACATGACTAAAAACAAACCAATGAGAATCTAACCTAAGGAAAAGCAGATTCAACTAAATATCTTAAAGACGTAGTCGTGAATTAAATCAAATATAACTATATGAACTACCAAATTAACGTAACTTTACAATAGTTCAGTGTCTGGGGGACGATCTGCTAAAGCTTGTCCGTAAATATGGGCTTCTAGACAGAGTATGTAGTAACAAACTGACCCTCTAGGGGGCAGTGCCACTTTTGATGGGAGATGAGCATAGACTGTAGGCAAATAAGAAAAAGGGAACGGTTCCTATGAGGTTCGCCGTGGATTTTGTGAACCGTTCCACCCCTAGTGGAAGGTAACGGATTGATGGAGACAGAATAGTTACTCCAGGGGAATGAAACTCTGTCTGATCCCTGGGAACTGATGCTTAAACGCTGGTCAGATATCTGCCTGCAGAATGGGCTCCGTCAGTGGGAAAGAGAAAGCAATCAGAACGTGTGTTAATGGAGTGTTAAAGTATAAGGAGACTCTCTCTGAATTCTGATTCTGATTCTGATTCTAGAAGGAGGAATGAGTCCCATAGGAAAGAAAAAGAACCTTTAAAATATTCACTTGTGGAAAGTTACCAGAGAGAAATTAAGAAAGTGATTTCCCTAACAACGGCCTCTGGGGAGAGACTGAGGTTTTAACCTTTCCAACACGCGTGTTCTGATGGTTTTACACTGTTAGAGCTCATAATGAGCAGAAACAGACAGGAGGCTCATCTGTGTTTGATAATCCTACAAAGTTTTAGCCTGTAAAGAAAAGAATCTGTGACACTCCTGGAGGAAGAGAGAACATCAAGCACAGACCAACAAAGTTCATGTATTAAACGAGACATTTGTGGAAAATCTCACATCTGCAAGAAAAGACCCGACATCATGTGACCAAACAGGAGCACAAACCTGGTTTTAATTTCATCCCATTAGCAAGCAGATACCACAACAATTACAAACATTTCATCTTTTTCTCACATAAACTGTTATTTTTATTTTGTTTTTTACATAAAGTATATTATACTCCATTCACATCCCTCAATTAACAAATCACCAGACATATTTCTGCCGTGTTCCTGCTCTGTTGCCGTCATAACTTCTACCATCATCATTAGTATTAATATCATTGCCATTTTTCATCTAGTCTGTGTTACTGTGTTGGCTGCCTCTCTCTCTCTCTCTCTCTCTCTCTCCCCCTCTCTCTCTCTCTCCCCCTCTCTCTCTCTCACCCCCAACCCCCCGAGGCAGATGCCCCCCCACCCTGAGCCATGGTTGTGCTCCAGGTTTCTGCCTGTTAAAAGAAGTTTTTCCTTGCCTGTGTCGCCTAGTGCTGCTCATGGTGGGAATTGTTGGGTTTCTGTAGTTAACTTCAGAGTAGGTCTGACCTGCTCTGTTTGGAAACATAACTGTTGTTGTGATGTGGAGCTATAGGAATAAAATTGAATTGAATTGAAAATAGCAACTAATTAAACTCCTGTTGTTATTTGCAGAATGAGCTGAGGAAAACCAGTTTCTGTTCAAAGTGTGAACCCGGTTCTCCCTGAAACACTCTGACAGCGACGTAAATCTGAACCCTGAGCAAAAGTGTTACACGTTTCAGACTGAACTTCTGAAGTTCAGGTCATTTCCTGTCAGTCCGGAGCTGAACGTTCAGCAAAATGAGATCATTTTAAAAAATGAGACCCTACATGCCTCATTGTATATATGTTATTCACTCAAATCTCTGCGCTGTGTTGCTTCCTTGTATAATATTGTATATTTTTCCTTGTATATTATTTGTTTTTGCTTTTTGTATTTTGTTTTTTACTTTATGCACCTTTTCCTCCTTTTGAACTCTAACTGATGTGTGACCGGTGAATTTCTCCACTGTGAGATCAATAAAGCTCTTATCTTATCTTATCTTATCTGATCTGATCTGATCTGATCTGATCTGATCTTATCTGATCTTATCTTATCTTATCTTATCTTATCTTATCTGATCTGATCTGATCTGATCTGATCTGATCTGATCTGATCTTATCTTATCTTATCTGATCTTATCTTATCTTATCTATCTTATCTTATCTATCTTATCTTACATGCCACATTAGAGGTGAATACCAGTGGGTGGCTGTTGTGTCTAGTTTCTAAAAGAAAAAGTCAATCAAAAACAAAGGCAGCAGCTGCTAGTTATATTGTAGAAGTGAAGAGGTGGGTTTATGTGGATGTGAAGTCAGCCCATGCCAATCTGAATACCAGTTTCTGTCACCACTTCAGGCTTCACCCCCCTAACTCCTGGGATGTGTTTCAGGCGGGAGTCTTCTGAAGTGTTCGGCTTCCCGGGTTTCAAAGTGTTTTAGATTCAGTGTCAACATCCATTAGAGAGCGGATAATTGAATCTGAGTGCTAATAGTCCCCTGGAAAAATTGGAAACACGCTTCAGCAGTTAAAAGTACAAAGAAGAGCTTCACTCCAGAGAAACTCCAGAGACTCTGGTGGGAGTTCTTCCTCTTTCTCATACAGAGTTCTTCTGCTTTCACAGAGTTATGGATCCATCAGCTCCTTTATGAAGCATCAAGCTCAGCACAGCAGAACCAGAGTCCTCTACCCGTTAGCCAGACCGTTTTCTGTCCCTGTAGCTGACTCCGTTTTCTCTGATTTCCAGGAGAATTCCCAACTCACCAGCTCTGACACAGATCAGGGTGATTCAGTCTTTGTTGTCGTGCACTTTCACGGCAATTTATTCTGCTCATCGCATCATCTATGATGGTCTCCAAACAAGAATTTGTTCTGGTTAAACTAGTTTGGTTTGTCCACCAGGTAGAAATCAATTGCCGACTTCAGTTAGATGAGTAGTAACAGAACCATATTCACTAGGGATGGGAATCTTCACCACCAAGGCGATACGATACACATCTCGATACACAACCAACGATTCCATACATTCACGATTCATGGGATTTCTAGTGATAAGATTCGATACGATTCTCCAACCTCCTGCGATCCGGTGCGATACAGAACGATCTAAATTTAAAATGCTGCGATACAGTACGATACGATACGATACGATACAATACGATGCAATGCAGAAGAAAAGTACACCATGGACTACATAGTTCAAGTTATGGCACGCAAGCTAACTGTGCCTTTTATTTTGAAACAAAGGAAGTGCAACTTAGAGAGTGATTGTCTCTCTGAAACTTTACAAGAAACGCAACTAAAACTCAAAGACACGTTTCTAAAAAGTTATAGAAGATAATAATCGGTTTGTATCGATGCAGGTAGTTTTATACGATGTATCTCGAGTTTATTTGCGGTTTTTACCGATGCAGACGTTTGCAAATCGATGCAACCGTATCGCACAGGTCGTTCCCATGTTCCGATACGCATCGGTGAATCTTGCCATGCCTAATATTCACACAAGTGTGTAATAAAAGTTTCCACAAGTTTTTAATTTCTATAGAAAAATGGTCCTCAACTCATGGATGTAAAATGGCTGAACCCCCTCATGTGAGAGGTCTCTGGGAGGACCAGGACCAGCTTAATTGTTTGGTTTTGCTTTTATTAGTTCAGTGGCATCACTCTGTATCACAGCAACAAATTGTTTGTTGTTCCATTCTGTATGCATGTGCAGAGTTTTGTTTCTGGAATGGAAACAAACAGATGATCAGCTATTTCTCCATGCCATGAGGGAGAAAGACAAAAGCAGGAGGAGGAAACTCCAGACCTGAACAGTATGCACCAGTTTAAAATCACCATCTATATTCTCAGTTCTTTTTCAGGGCAGATGGAAACATGCAGGAACTCGACCCTTCCCTATCTGACACATCAGAGAGGTAACAGGAACTCCTTATTCTGCAATCAAATATGTGTGAAACTTCAGAGAAATAGTCCCATTTTTGGGGAGACTGGAGGTCATAGGGAGACGTTATAGGCCAGAAAAGCCCTCAGAACATGCTGTAGGACTTTGATGTTTAGCAAAAATGTTTGATGTTCACAGTTATGCAAAGACAAATCACTGAAACGATGATGTGCTTTAAAGCTTTTGTCTTCAGTACAAACAAAAACAAGCAAACAAGCAAAATTAGACAATCTATATGGCGACCATCACACCTCCAAGAGTCTGGAATGAGTTTTACAACAGCCTGGAGGAGCAATTGATCAAAAAATAATCTCAGAGATTTGTCTCATCTGCAGAGTGTGGAAATATTTTTTTTAATTTGCAACTGAATTGCCAAAAAACATTTCCTTCCTGTCACATCGGGGGAGTGAACATTCCTCCAGTTGAAATAATGAGCTGCCCACACGCCAGACGTTTCTAAAGCTCATTAAACCAACACGTCCGCGGAATTACTTTGCAAAGTGCCCGATTTAAAAAAGGATTATTTCAAATTCCTGTGACAGGAATATGTTCTGACTTTAAGGCCATTCCACACATGATAACAGCACAGTATCTTATTAAAGTGACTAAACACCTGTGCCTGGGCAGTAAAAGGAAACCATCCGCCCTCGTGTAAACCACAATAAATATGAGCCGATCTCTGTTTCATTTAAAACATTCCACATACTTTTGTAGAAACGTACACTTTTAGAGTTTTTGAGAATGCTTTGGTACTGAGTTACAGGGTGGTTTGTTTGTTTTCAGGTTTATTTGAATGCGAGCAGAATACATTTCCTGCAACCTGCAAGCCTCGTGCCGCTCACGGTCCAAGAATTTTTCAGTTTTGTAAAATAGTTTTTAAACAGTGCCGTTGCCGTGGCGACCAGCAAAGCTCTGGGAGCTGTGGAGCCGATGGATCCACTGGTTCTGGTACCAGGCGGGCAAAGCCCGCTTCGAGAGCTTTAGTCAGAGTTTAAATTTAAAGATATTGTTTATACAAAAATACTGGAAATAATGTATAAAGCATTGAATAAAAGTCTTCCTTCTGGTATTCAGAAATGATTTAAGTCAAGAGAAAATAAATATAATTTGCGAGGTTTGTTTATATTTGAATGTGCAAAGGAGAAAAGTCAGATAAAGTCTAGATGTGTTTCAGTTATTGCTGTGAAACTGTGGAATGAACTGAATGATGAATTTAAGTTATGTCCTTTCTTGGTGAACTTTAAAAGAGCTTTAAAATGTAAAATGATAAAATTTTACGCTGTTATGTAGATCTATATATGTACTATGTACTTGAATCTGAATTTGAAGAAATCCTGGTAGGTTGTAAGGTAAAAAATAGGGTAGAATAAGCTTTGCTTCGGACTATTCCTTTTTTGGTAAACTGTGGGTTTGTCGATTGTTCTTTTCTTTTTTTTCTTTTGTTGTTTCTTGTGTTTAATGTGGACAAGTTACCAAAATAAAGTGATTGATTGATTGATTGATTGATTGATTGATTGATTGATTGATTGATTGATTGATTGGGTGGTTCTGCATGTTCTCCTGTGTCTGTGGGTTTTCTCCGGGTTCTCCGGCTTCCTCCCACCCTCCAAAAACCTGCATGTTAGGTTGTTGGACTCCAAACTGCCCTTAGTGTGAGTGTGTGTGGTTGTGGGTCCTTGTGTGTCTCTGTGTGTCCCTGTGATGGACTGGGGACCGTCCAGGGGGACCCCGCCTCTCCCCATTGGCTGCTGGGATAGGCTCCGCCCCCCCGACCCCATTAGGGAATAAGCGGTATTTATTATGGATGGATGGATGTTCCTGTTTGTTAATAAACTCTTCATCATCCTGACCTGAGATCTAAGATCCTTTTCTGTGGGCCTGAACTGCATGAGGAGGGAAACAGACCAGTGTGACTGAGTTTAAACTCAGGTTTAGTCTGGCAGCCACTGGGGGCCCAGGGCTGAGCGCCCCCTGGTGGCCGGAGTGTGGAACAGCAGGATTTTGACCCTGCTGGAGCTGTTCAGGTTTTTCTGTTTTTTCTTTTTACATATTTTGTTAAAAGGCCAAATAAGGAATTAAAAATATATATATATATTTTCTGTTTAGTTTTCTTCTTGGATCAGGCTTCAAAGGGTTAAACTCAGCTCCAGAAGGGGAGTCAGGTTTGGGATGGACCCTGGGGCCCCAGCTGAGCGCCCCCTGGTGGTGGGAGTGTGTAACAGCAGGATTACGCCCTACTGGAGCTGTTCAGGAGCTGGAGCTGAACTCTGTCCCGTTATCGGTAACAGAAATGCTCATTACTCTGCAGAGCGGAAACAAATGCAATCTGTATGGAAATGCCGGTGCTCAGTCACAGCACCGGCTCCCGCTAATAGCGTAGTAAATATTCTATGTAATAACACCCTGTTCTCCTCGTATCAAAAGCAGCCGGCGAGGCTACGACATGTCATCGCTGCTACTCAGAATAATTCATCAGTCGAACTCCGAGGGTTTCTGCTCACGCTCTCCAAATCCTGAGTGTCTGGGTAGAACTCATGAGAGATATAATACAATACAGGGTTTAGAAAAAAGAAACACAATAAAATCCTCTTATATCCTCCTGAGACCCGGCCCATTCCTTTATGTCCATTATAGTGGACATTTTGTCCACCTGTACCCCCCTAAGTATCTGGAGTTACCCTATCAGCCCTATAGTGTTCTGTAGAGCACATCCTGGGCTTTCCAGTGATGTGCCATGTGACAGCTTTGCATGCTGGGAACTTTACTTTTTTCCTAAGAGTTCTTAGGTAAATATCCCTTTCAAGACATCTTCTTTTTTATTATTTAATTATCTAAAGCCTGTTCTATTTTTTATTATTTAATTATCTAAAGCCTGTTCTATTTCCCCATGCAAATCGTCCTGTTGTCCTCCACAGTGGACATGCTATGAAATTAAAATTAAAAATATATATTTTTTAATTGAAATTGTAATGTTCTTTTTTAGGTCCAAATACATGGAAAATCACAACAAAATAGAAATTTGAAGACACTTTTTTTCTTTGGGTCTCAGGAGGATATACAGTGGGGGAAATAAGTATTTGAGCCCTTGCTGATTTTGCAGGTTTGCCCACTTACAAAGAATGCAACGATCTATAACTTTAATCATATGTACATTCTAACAGTGAAAGACAGAATCCCAAAGAAAATTCCAGAAAATCACATCATATGAATTTATAAAAACTGATAACCATCTGATGAGGAAAAATAAGCATTCTTTGTAAGTGGGCA